CGTTCTACCCTGTGGCAAGAACTCATAATGCACCACGCCCCTGCAATTAATTTTTTCGTCTGTTGTTGAAGTGCTCGGGCGTCCAGCACGCTCTTCGTCGTTCACATCTTCTCGGCCTTCTCAGAACATTTTGTACCACCGATAAACGTTGCTTCGGTCCAAGGTAACTTCTCCGTATGCCACAGTCAACATTCGGAATGCATCCGCGCACTTAATTTCCTTTTTCACACAAAATTTGATTCAGGTTCTTTGATCCATTTTTTTGGTAAAGGAAAAAATCGAAGACCATCCAAAACACATGCAAGCAAAGCAGCTGTCCACAATCAAGTGAACATTCAAAATGGCCGAGCTCGTCAGCATAAGTGACAGACTTGAGTACCAACATAACGCCACAAAAAAATTTTAAATTCGATTATACGTAACCTGCGAAAATTCAAAATTCGCGATACTTTTTGAACACACCTTACATATATATATATATTCTCTGTGAGCTCGAACTCGGAACTGACAGACAACACCAAGCTTTGCCATCTATCCTCTAAGCATTCATGAAAAAGTTCATTGCGGAGTTTCGATTTGGTTTCGATTTGGTTTCTATAAAAGTTTCCGCAGTTTTCGTCAACTCAACCATCTCGCCGTAAGTTCTTTTTCAGTAGACTAGACAAGGAAGCAAAGCGAGTCTGTTTTAAAATGAAGTATCTTCTGTTATAAGCAACTAAAACCAGTGAAGAGGAGAAGAAAACGACGTTTATTGCAGAAACGCTTATAAGGGACGATATAATTATATTTTATTAACACTCATAACAATTCCATGTGCATACACTCATACATAATATGCAAGTATTTTGGTAAGCAAAAATAAAATTTAATAAATAATGAAAATAGCCTTCTCCACGACCTTCACTATTTTCCCATAGCGTGGCCATGTGTTTTGTATAAATCTAAAAATAGAGATAATCAATTTACAGTGGTAAATATGTACTTTTTTTCTGTTACAAAATAATCATAAAACACAAGGATTATTAAAGCAAAACAGAACTGCACACGCTTGAAGTGAATTCAAATGAATTATTGTGAAAAGTGGAAATTTTTATTTTACTTGTGGTCCAAATGTTAACAGTGTAAAACAGGTAAGAGAGGCTGATTCTGATCACGTGCACAAAGGCCTAGTGGCCCTATATTGTCTCACACCTTTCCAATTTTTCAAACCATTTGGGGTGTACTTCAGAAGATTAAAGGTGCTTATCGATCTATAAGGCAATCGAAGAAGAAAGAGCTGGGCATTGACAAAGTTAATGTTCCACCGATTTCTCCTCAACTATGACCCTACAGCTGCGATAGTAGTGGTTTGACAAGTAGCCCAGCCTTCGACTGTAACTCGCCATAAGACAGTGTCCAGTTATTCCGCCGGTTGTTCTACTTATGGAAGTCCGATTTAGAAAGAGTAGAGATTTAGTTCTGTTTACCGCAATTAATGGCCAGGTTTGACTTGTCACATTGCACGTGGTTACGCTATGCCATCAGCTGTTGGCCATTTTAGTGAAGGCTTGTCAGTTTGTCAGCTACGCAGTTACCTGTGTAGGAATGACCAGGAACCTAAACCATGGAAGTTTTGCATGCAGCCGAGAGTTTTTTTTTTTAGATTTCTCTACATTTTATTGTCACCTTTGAGGTGGTGTGATTGCATTGGAGAGACTTAATGGTCAGAATACATTGTAATAGTTTGGGTTAACGTATAAGAAACGAGCATGCCACGTAGTCTGATTTCGATAATTACTTTCGCATTTGATATTGAGAACCTATGAAGGCGGCTCTTGAAAATTAAGTAATGAAGTTTTACCAGAGGGCAAGAAAAGAGGGGAATCGTCGAATGATTGATTGGTCTGATTGTTAATTGAATTGTTAATTGAAAAATAAATAGGCATAGAAACAATAGGCCTTAGGCTGAGTAAAATAAAAATAAAATATATATATATATATATATATATATATATGTATAAAAATCCTTAAAATAACAGATATCTTTATAATATTTCACTTATATATGAATTAGATAATTTGCGCAAATTTAAATTCTTCATAATTCCAAATAAGCAAAATCAAAATGAAAAAAAAGAGACTAAACCAAAGGTTAAATATTACAATAAATTTTACTTAGCTTAAGGAATTAAAAAAAAATTCAACATTTTCGTTACTAAATTCAGATGGTAGTTTAAATAGATTTTGTTTTATTAAAAACTTTGTTTCTAATGTAAGAAAAATTATGACAATTAAAAAGTAAATGATCTACTAAGGCTGCTTGAGAATAACTGCAAAAGCTGCAAAACTTTGAAGAAGAGCCAAGGAAACCATCCAACAAATATTGATGGGTTAATCTAGTATGTCGTGTGTCCATTCTTTAAAGTTCCGATCGAGGTGAACGTTAACGTTTTATAACAACATAATTTTTTTTTTAATTACATTTTTGATACCATGTAGACGTTTTCCTAAAATCATATAATCACCAATAATATTATTATTTTGTGCTGTGCTTCCTCTGCTATTTTCTCAGCTAAATTATAATTTTTTATTGTAATATTAGCTTTTCAAATAAATAAACAAATAAAAACTTCGTCTACTACAATATAACCGCTAAGTTAAAGTGATTTACTTTAACATGTATTTTCTTCTTGCTTTACTGATTCCGCTGCGAGGTTTCGGTGACTAATTTGATAGGATATTTAATATGAAAATCACAATTTCAACACTTATACATTATTTATCTACAAACATCGGTATTTACAAGCATACGTTTTGGAATACTTCACCGCTACTCTAAATATTGAAATTATATGTTCTTTTTCGGGCTTTAATTTTTTTCATTATACCATGATTAAAAGCTGGCCATATAAAATTTAGTGAAAGCAGGTGTTTTTCAAAGTAGCAGGTGGTAATTAGAAAGCATAGATATTATTTAAGTTAACCCTCTATCAACCAATGAGCTCTTTTGCAATGTTGAGATAATTCTTCTTCTTCATTGGCGTGGGCACCGCTTATGCTTTCGCTCCTTCTCTTCGTTGTTTAGCGCCAGTTGGAAATACCTAGTAAAACCAGAAGAAATGCCATTCTAAACCTTTGGAATAGGTGGTACCAGACACGAAGATAACTACCTCAATAAAGGCCATAGAACTCATGCTTGACATTAGGCGTATAAGTGTTGAGCACTAGCGGTTCCAGTCTCCAAATTATGAAGGACATGACAGCAGTTACAAAATTATATCAGATCTCGTGCTAAACGTAAAATGTGACGGAGAAACGGAAACCATCTGCCAGGTGGATGCCACCTACTCTTTCCGCAGTAGGAAAGAATGGATGAAAGGCAGCGCAATCGGTTATAGAAGGTTCACTGGTCTTCTATGTCCATCCCAATTGACTTGGGTAAATTTCAAAATTAAGTACTACAACTCAGCCTTTCAAGCAAAAGTTGCGGGCATTACACAAGATACCAAATGGGTAGACTCTTAATAGGAAATTCTATTAGGTTTCTTCTAGACAGTGAGGCAAAAATGAAGACAATTATTATTTTTATTATTATTGGCACTTTGTAACCGCTAAAGCGATTTTCGGCCGAACTATAATAGGCACCTTGACGCCTTCTAACAAATGGAGGGACTACGTCTTATTTTTAGTCGGCTCAACGGATGTACAATAAATAGAAGGCAATGAAACGGCGGACGAGCTGACGAGACGAGCACTTCTAACGTAAGACATATCACTAAATTATTGCGCGGTAGCGTAAATTAAAAGCCGAAATTTTTGAATTTGCATAACTTTCGATTTTGAAATATTAGTTTAAGTTCGGGAAAAGTTTATACGATTAGGAACAACTGAGAAGTGGACCACGAGCCGATCTATTCAAAAGATCGTATTTTTGATTCGATTTACTTGAATTTCGGTAGATACATAGATGAACAAGCACCAAGCAGCAAGTACTAAGACCGCTCGGCTTTCCGGGTAGCGGACCAGGGATCGACTTATTCTAAAAAATTCCGTTTAGAGTGCGACTCGGTTAAGTTTTTCGCAGATATGCCTAAATGGAATACTTTTGTTTCCTGGAAATGGACCAAGGACCGCGAAAGATATCACCTATAGATGTACAAAAATTTGTATGAGTTCGAGATAAATATATATCGGGCGTAGGTATGTTAAGCTAATTTTTATACTTTCAACTTTATTGTGAATGAGCACAGTTCCGATTGGTGTGTTTGGCTTACTTCGAGGCATTCAGATTGACATTTACTTGATGCTTAATTAGGGATTTTTATCATTCTTTGCAATATCTGTTGACGAAAAATTGGCCCACGACAACGTTCCGGACATCTGCTAGTCTTTAATATGAAAAGAGTTTTTAGTACTTAAAGTATTAAATTATTTTAAGTGTTCAATGGAATTTATAATTTTTAGGAGTCTTTGAAATTTTAATTCTATTTTTATAATTTTATCGCCATTGGGCATCACACGGAAAGGATACTGACCGTTACTTTGTTCCAAGCAATAAAAAAATTTACTTGGTTAATACTTCAAATATTCGAACTAAAATTGTTGTAGGGGTTGCAAATAGTTTGTACTTTTGTACTCTCTATCGCAGGAAGATTTAGTACTTTTTTCAAAAATTTTAGCTCAGAAGCTTTGCTAAAAAAATCTAAAACCAATCGCAGTCAAAGGGTTAAAATTAGGAAACCAACACCTTTAACTGATCAATTAAGTAATCGACCAGATAAGCAAAGCGTCGAAATTAATAGCCAATCGGGCTGTACACGTATGCTACTTATAGCTTTGTATGTGTTTTCAGTGAGTAATTCATTTCAACTATTTGCATTGCCTACAACAAGTGGTACGAGATAAACACCTGCTTAACTGGACAAATCATTAACGATTAGATTATCGCCAACAATGGCAAATTATATTGTTTTTAAATAGCTTAAAATTCCACAATTTGTAATTGTATATTTCCCAGTTACAATTTGAAACTCGTTAGATGAGCGTTAAAGTGTGAGGAATGTCGCAAAGTTGTGTTACTCGTGTAGTGTTGGTTGCTTTGCTATCCCTGAGCATCCTTGCAGGTAGAGTACTGCAAGCAAAGGATCCATTTAAAAAAAATTTGTGAAAAAATCTGTGTACTTATTATGTGTGTATGTAGCTTCAACAGTGTTCAAATGTTATAAATTAAATAAAAAAAGAAACACAAATGACAATGATTTGATAGGGTTGTGAACTAAAATAGTCGTCTGTCGTTTTCGATGATTTTCGGTGACAATGTTTATTTGTATATCTTATTCTTCTTCTTCTTTATTGGTGTTGCTATTGCTCTTTTCCTTTCGCTATCTGACGCCAGTTGGATGTACCAAGTGAAGTCAGATCACTCTCTACCCTTCCTCTGCTTACACCAGCTGGCACTGCATCGAATACTTTCAAAGCTGGAGTGCTTTCATCCATTCGGACGATATGACTTTACTTTTCAATTGTCTACTCAGTACAAAGTAGCACCAGTTGGCAGGAGTGATTCTGCGTTAGATTTCAATTTTATTATTGATGTTGACGCTGTAGATAGACGAAATTATCTACGAACTCGAAGTTATGACTGTCAACAGTGATGGAGGAGCTGTGACGCGAGCGCGATGACTGCTTCATTGATGACAGGAGATATTTCGTCTTGTCCTCGTTCACTACCATACCCATTCGCTTCGCTTCTCTATCAAGTCTGTAAAAAGCAGAGTTCACGGCGCGAGTGGAGGTTTTCCTCTTCCTCTATACCTACACCAGCGGGCACTGCATCGAGTACACTCATGCCATGACTAAATAACCGAATCGATCGGTATAGATTTTCATGGTGATTGATGATTCTCTTTTCATTCTTAAAGAGTGTAAACGTAAAATGGAAAACCATCTGGTCCACGCAGTCAACACCTGCTTCGTTTGTATTATAATAAAGATTTCTGGTTTCATCAATTCACCTTGGCAGGCTTTCGTGTAGTGAACGACTGATACAATACAAGCTTTAGTGCCTTATTTTTATTCGGAACATAGCTACAAATTGATACTAAGTTCTCATTGGATCCGCAAAGAGTTGAAAGCAGAGAACGTTTTGAGTTCTTCCGCATTTCATCAGGAATACAGCGTTTATTGGAACGAATTGTGCCAACGTATGGAATTCCATTGTTTGCAAGTTTTTTTTTACACCTTCAAGAGTTGTCGGTAATAAATGTGCGACCGCTATTAACATATCGACTGGTCATTAGGAGTGCATTTTGGTCTTTGGGTCCTGAACGAAAACACATAATATTGCGATGTCGAAGGCGACCAACAGTGGGTGGCTCAGTTTTCACCCATTTCCTGCCATCACAACCATAAAAGCAATCACTAGAGGCACTTACTGATCGTCTCTGTCACTATTGTTTTCAAGCCAATTTGCTTCGATTACAACTTCGTTTTCTATCAGAATGAATGTTCACATGTGTGCGGGTAAATACCACACACTGCTAAGGTAATATAAAACATAGTTTGACTGGAATAATTCAGAAAAATAGTAAAAAAATAGATGTACATACATACATCAATTCACGTCATATTTCATACAAAATGTATGGAGATCTAGCTAGACGACTTCGACCGTTCGAAATATGAGGTGTACAACTTTGCTTCCGCCGTTTCCCGATGGGTGGCTGTACCGGCTGAGGCTGGTTGAATTACAGTGCCTAACGGATTGTCATCGCCGTTTCAGTGACGTTGTTCTTGTTTTCGTATTATTCACGCTCGAAAATGTCCGTTTATGTGCCTAATTCTCGCCATTTGCGGGAAGTTTTGCTTTNAATCAAAGTTGTACACCTGATATTTATATTTAGGTTTAAGCTTTTCAATCGTAGGGGTATTATTAATTTAACTGTCTGCCGTACTCATTTTAGAAAGAATATTGGACTAGCAATATGCGTGCTAAAATATTCCGATCGAGCTGCTCCTCCAGTTTGTGGGTTGTGCCTTTTATGTGTCTGCGGTTTTCTAACAAATTGAAGGACCTACTGTTTTTTTCTAAGAAATCACAGAACAGCTGATGGATTCTCGCGAAAAAATTTTTTTTTTTCATTTTAAATCGGAGTGGCATGGCGGCAAGGCATTAAAGAAAAAATACAGTAATTTTAATCCAATTCGCTTACTAAATTCTACATGAGCCACTTTCAATTCGCCAAAACTGAGAGTATCAAAACGATTACAAAAATAAGTAATTAAAAAAAATTGTTTTCATCTTAGGTTTTTTTTATTTAAAATCCAGGTTATATTTAACTTAAACTCGCTTGAAATCAGCATTGATCTTGGCAATATCGTGCTCAGCAATGAAAAACCGTCACTCGTGTGAAAAGTTATTTAGATTTGAAAAGTAATGAAATTTTCAAAAAAAAAAAAAAAAAAAAAAAATGCTAAAAATTTGTGTGATTTATGGTGAGAATACTGTAAATGAACGCCGCGATCCGTTCCAGAAATTTTGTATGTCAAAGTTGCATATCGTTCTGTTCGATCAGTCACTCAAAAAGCTAATGAAATACTGTAATCAGTGCAGCAAAACCGGCATCCAAGCTGCCAATGCTGGACAGCAGAGGCATTAGACATCATTCACGCGTCTCAAACGCCAAATCACATTTGGCTTGGATCTTCTACCATTTAACTAACATTTGTTTCGGTCTCGGTAAAACTCTCTGGATGGTAAAAAATTAGCCAACTGAAGGACAGCTCATTTGCCCAAGTTCTTCGCTGATCGAAAACTAGCAAAATATCTATGATAATAATGGACATTATGTATTTGAGTAATATTCAAAAAAGAAGTTTTTTTTTTTCAAAAATACAAAAACCCGCAGACTTATCCATTATATTCAAACCTTCTACCATTGCTCATTATAGAGCACGACTTATTCATTTAGCTCTATATTTAAAAGTAAGTTCTGATATTTTTATAAATATTTTATTTTTTTAATAAAAAATTGTTAGTATAAATTTGAAAGCGAAAATTCTAATAATTCAGAAAAATGAAAATATTTGAAATTAAAAAATCAGTCACAATAAATTTGAAAATTGAAAATTGCAAGTTACAAATGTCAAAGTAGATTCCTACATTTACTCCCCCCCAGTGAAACACATATTTATTAATATTAATTAAGGTTAACAGGCCTATTCTGTCGAGGTAACAAAATTTACCAAGGTATTAAAATTTCCCATTCAGTAAATTTTGTTACTATTTCGTATTCTGAGTTCACTGTCACCCTGTAACTATTGTTACCAGCGAAATAGGGGGTAACAAAAATATCTGCTGTTTGATTTTGTGTTGTAAATTTGAGAAAAAATAAAAAACCAAAACCATATTTTACAAAGTTTTCGAGACTACAAAATAGCCCTTTAATTTGTAAGATAACGTTTTTTCATTCAGCTTTTTTTGTTATCCAGGCATATTTTCCATAATTACATTCAAATATTGGATGAGTGCATAAGTTCGTGCCCGATTCCGTGGGTGCCGTTCGAATCGTTTGAGAGTGGCGCTCGTGAAAGAAATATATACATATTATATATCGTCGGAAAGGTGTCAGTCCGAACTGTAAATCAAGCATAAAATAACTTCATTTTGATTTGAGTTGCTTAGTGAAAAGACGGACAACGAAAAAGATCATATGCGTCATATTATGATATACGAATTCCGCAAGGGAAAAACAGTAGACGCTGCAACTAAAGATATTCGCGAAGTTTATTTGGACCGTGCTCCAGCACTCCGCACAGTAAAGAAATGGTTCGCGAAATTTCGTTCTGGAGATTTTAACCTCGAAGATCAACCTCGCAGTGGACGGCCTTCTGAGCTTGATGACGATGTTCTAAGGACTTTAGTTGCGAATAACTCACGTATTTCGACGGAAGAGGTTGCCAGTGAATTGAACGTCAACAAATCAACTGCGTTTCGTCGTTTAAAAAAGGTTGGGTACACTTTGAAGCTCGATACATGGGTGCCACATCAGTTGAGTGAAAAAAACAAAGTGGACCGTATGTCAACAGCAATTTCTTTGCTTCGACGGATCAAAAACGAACCTTTTTTGGATCGACTCGTGACTGGTGATGAAAAATGGATCCTGTACAACAATGTTCAACGCAAAAGAACATGGAAACAGGCACACGAAGGGGCGGAACCGATGTCGAAAGGTGGATTGCATCCGATGAAGGTACTGCTGTGCATTTGGTGGGATATCCGAGGCGTGATCTATTTTGAGCTCTTGCCAGCTGGAGAAACGATCACTGCCAACAAGTATTGTCAGCAATTGGTCGAATTGAAGAAAGCAATTGATGAAAAACGTCCGATTTTGGCCAATCGCAAAGGAGTTCTTTTCCATCATGACAACGCCAGGCCACATGTTGCAAAACCGACCCTGGCCAAACTGAAGGAGATGAATTGGGAAATCATGCCGCATCCCCCATATTCACCCGACATTGCACCTTCTGATTATCATTTGTTTCGATCGCTGCAGAACAATTTGAATGGAAAAAAATTTAAAAATGTGGAAGACGTCAAAAACCACCTTGACACCTTTTTCAACGAGAAACCGCGCGATTTCTATGAATCAGGCATCCGTAAATTGGTTGAACGTTGGGAGTGGATTGCCGAACATGATGGCGAATACATAATTGATTAATAAAAGCGCTTTCTTCAAAAAATTTCAATTTTAGTTTTCACTTGAAATTGGGCACGAACTTTTGCACTCATCCAATATTTATGATTTAATAAACAAATTAATAAAACTTTTTAATTTTTTTTGCAAAGAATTTCACTTGTACTTTCAATTTCCTTATAATAATTATAATTGGAAACAATAAGTTCACTCGGAAGTCTCAGTTTTTGACCATAAACAAATTCAGCTGAAGAACATTTAAGATCTTCCTTAAGCGCTGTTCGTAAGCCTAAAAGAATCCACGGTAAAATTTCAGACCAATGAACTGAATCATTTGATGTTGTAATTGCAGTTTTCAAAGTTCTATGAAATCTTTCAAACATTCCATTTGACTGTGGATGATATGGAGAGGTGTGTATTTTGTGAGA